TGTGTATCTTCTAGGTCCTGACCAAACCCTGCAGGTTTCAGTAGGGTCACCTTATGGACAGAACCTCAACTCTGCCTTTTTTTTTTTTTTTTTTTGCAGTTTTTGGCCAGGGCTGGGTTTGAATCCGCCATCTCCAGCATATGGGGCTGGCACCCTACTTCTTTGAGCCACAGGCGCTGCCCTAAACCTTAAATGATTTTATTGAGTATGGTTTCTTTTCCCTTGACAAACCCACAGTGGAGAATCTTTCAGCGGAATGGATTTGTGACGAACATGCAAATAACTACCAGAAAAGGTATCAAATCCAGCTTTGAAGAGGAGTTGTAACTTGATTGAAGTGCCTCTTAATCTTAAAACAATTTTTAACTCCATGCCCTAGAGGTTATTTCACAGTTATCTTTAAGTAAGCAATCTTTTTTTAAATGAATCATTTGAAAACTATTTCAAAAATAGTATACATATCTTAAAGAGGAAAATGATGGAAATTGAAAATTAAATAGGAAAAAATAAAAAAAAACACATTTGTGAGGACAAGGTATTTTTAGCTTCCTTACAGTCTTCACACATTGATGTTTATTTACAATAATATTTATTTGGCAGCTTGTTTTGGTAGAATGACATTTCCTAGAATTTCTTTTCTTTTATCATTATCATTATTATTATTATTATTATTCGTGGAGGCCAGGTTTCACAGTGTTACCCAATTTGGACTTGTGCTCTTGATCTCAAGCCATCCTTCTACCTCTCATATAGAGTTCCCCCACTCAGGGCTGAGCAAGGACTCTCATTTTTGAGTTCCGAGCAAACAGACTTTTTTTCCAAACCACAATCTCTGGACACAAGCAGAATTTGATCTGGAGCCCCTCTTGTAGTGGAAAATAATATATACCTAGGGCAGGAACTATGAGAACATTTATATTGCCTAATATAGGTAATTACCTATATATATATATATATGTAATTATATATATACCTATATACTACCTATATTACCTATATATACCTAATTATACATATATATATGTGTGTGTGTATATATATATATATATATACAGTATATATACCCATATAGGTATAATTACCTATATATATATAGGGTATATAGGGTTATAAGGTTATATACCCTATATATACCTATATATACCTATATAGGTTTATATACTCTCTATGTGTATATAACCCTATATAGGGTATATAGGGTGTATAGGATATATAACCTATATAGGGTCTATAGGGTTATAGGGTTTATACCTATAGGGTATATAGGGTTATATATACCTGTATAGATATATACCTATATAGAGTTATAATTACCTATTATATATATAGGGTATATAGGGTTATCTCATGTAGGGTTCCCCCATTCAGGGCTGAGCAGAGACTCCCATTTTCTAGTCCTGAGCAAACAGACTTTTTTTCCAAACCACACTCTCTGGACACAAGCAGAATTTAATCTGGATATCCCCTCTTGGAGTGGAAAATGATATATACCTAGGGCAGGAACTATGAGAACATTTATATTACCTAATATAGGTAATTACATATATATATATATATATATATCGGACCTAATTTATTTGCTAATACATTTGTTCACTAGTCAACATGAATGAGATGTCTGTAAGCTCCTGAGGGAGGGTAATGTACCTTCCCTGGATACCTGACCTGATGGCAAGCCCCATACTAACCTCAAATAAAAGACCCATGTGGGTCTTCCCATTTG